ACTGCGAACCGCCCTCCCACCACACTGGCTTTGCCAGAAGACCGGTGCAGCGGCAGCGGTCACAACTCGAGACGCGTTTTGAGCTCCAGAGTCGCTGAATGGGACTCGAACCGAACGTGTGACCCCACCAATGGATCGCTCTCGGAACGAGGAATCCATTGGTGGGGTCACACGTTCGGTTCAAGTCCTGTTAAGCGACTCTGGAGCTCAAAACGCGTCCGGGAGACAGGGCGACTCTCAGAATCAGTCGGCAGGTTGACTTGACCGTTCCTTCCATCCGCCACTCACTATCGCTCCAACTTTTCTGCCGGATGAAAAATTCAGCGCGTCGCCGTCGCCTGTCATCTCCGCGTCAGAGTGAGACGACGGCTGTGGCGATGGAAGTGGGAGATACAGTGTCCGGTGTGCGCGGCGTGCGGCGGCCTGCACGTGCGAGCGGGACAGGACGCTCCCTGGGACGGCCGGGCAAATTGTGATCTATGGACGGGCTTAAGTAAGCGAGGGGAGCGGGGGGGGGGGGGGCGGCCTCTCGGAGCCATCAGCAAACACTGAGGCCGGCCTTAGCCAGCGGCTGCCACTGCCCAGTGGGAAAAATAAAGACGAGTAAATACAATCTTGTCGCGCGCGTGCGTGTCCGAATGTGTGTGTGTGTGTGTGCGCGCGCAGTGCGGGTAGTGCGTTGCTGTGTTGGCAGTGGGAGTTATCTCTGTCCGACTTAATACACCTACCTGGTGGACCTCCCTTCCCTTCGCCTCGCCTGCGCGCGTCTGTGTCCGTTCCGCTGTGTGTCTTTGACACTCACGGGAGGTGGTTGCCATTCGACCCGCAGCTGCCCTGTTCTTTTCTTGGCCGGGGGAATACGCGCGCCGATACGACGGACGGCGTCGCATTCTTTATTTAGGGGCCGAGAGAGGTACAGAAAAAGGTCGATAAGGTTGGAGGAGATTGAGGGAGATAGTGGCCGCCTCGGCGACCCGACCCGACCAGAAGCCAGAAGTCGCCTCTTGGGCTGCCGTCGACACTTTTCCGGCTCATTTTACGCGCTAATGAATCGATATTGGGAGCGAGAGAGAGAGAGAGAGAGAGAGAGAGAGAGAGAGAGAGAGAGAGAGAGAGAGAGCGCAGAAGGGACTTCCCTTCCCCCGGTCATTACGTGCACTCTGCGCCCTGCACACGCCTCTCTGTCTGTCTGTCTGTCTGTCTGTCTGTCTGTCTGTCTGTCTGTCTGTCTGTCTGTCCGTCCGTCCGTCCGTCTGCGTGCCGCGAGCCGCCTGGCGGCCCCACCGTCCCGTCGAACACGGCTGTCTGGCGGTTTGCCTACCCTCATGAGCTTCTTCCCCCTCTGCAAACAGATCGTGTGTCCCCGCCGGTCCCCACCCCCCGTCCATACATTCAATACACTGGGAAATGTCGTCCCCGTGCCTGCTGCCGCGCTGCCGCGGTGCCGCGAGCAGCAGGCAGCGGGCGCTCTGCAGCAATATATCGGTCTTTACTACCCATAAAGCCACGCACGCCCCTTCGGTGTTCCGATAGAATCCCGTCTCGTCCCTTCCCACACAACGCTCTACTGTCCGCCCCGATATGCCGTTGTTTTATACAGCTCCAACGGGATAAGCTTAATTTGGGTTCTTTTTCACGCCCGTCTCTTTCCCTCTCTCTCTGTCTCTCCCTCCCGCTCGCCTGATCCTCCTCCCGGATTGCTTCCTGCCGCGCCGCTCGGCCCTTACACGTCTTTCTGTCCTTGTTTGACTACGGCAATGAGGGCTGCGCTGCCCTGCGCTGCCGCGCCGGTGTTGACAGAGCCTAACCAATCGGCTCGGGGGCACTGCACTACTGCAAGGGGAGCGACGCGGCGACGCGCGCGCCGACGCTAGGGTGTCCCCCCGCCACTTCCCGTCTGATAGGGTGGCCACTTTTCCGGCCTTTCCGGCGGCGCGAATGCAGGAATCTTACCGTCCGACGGACACCAACACCCTTACCTTTTAAACAAAAATGATTTTTTCAAGAATAATTTTAGGCATGCTTTGACTTTGTTTTGTCGTCGACTTGGCGTCCTCGCGCACGCGGAAGAGCGTAAACCGTTTTACAGCCGGCCATCCCGGACGGGCGTGCCAGGGCAGTGCCAGGGCAGTGCCAGGCACCTGCTCCACAGTGCCTCGTCGCCGTCCAGATTCCGGAGTGTTAACCTATAATGGTTAACAGCCAGGCACGCGTTCGTTTATTGAAAACGGAACCCCGAAACTGGAGCGCGGCGCGCGCGTCTCACGTCCGCCGCTCCCTTGTCTTCGCCACAACCTAGCCGTCCTCCTGGAACGAGTTTATTTTAAACAGCGTTCTTCATCGCGCCCTAAATGCCCCTCTTTTCCCCGCCGGCTCAATCTGGCACAGTGAGTGCGTTTGCGCTACATCGCGGCCAGATAGCTGTGGGGTGGCGCCTGCCCTGGCCATCTGCCCTGGCCCCCCGGGGGGAGGGGAGGGGGAGGGGGCGGGAAACTGGGCCAAGAAGGTGCGAGTGTGTGGGCGCGCGCGAGCATTTTGACGCCAAATTTTTTGGTGTCTACAGTGCAGGTGCAGCAGCGCGGCGCCAAATTTCCTGACGTCTGCGTTGGAATCTGCGGCGGCCATCCCCAGGTTTGCGCGGCGCCGTCTTTCGGCGCGATCCCCGGCAGACAGACAGACGGACGGATGGGCAGACAGACAGACAGGACAGACAGACAGACAGACAGACAGAGAGGCAGACAGAGAGGTAGTGTGGTGGAGGGAGCGAGTACCTCGCGACGCGGGGCGTACGGCCGGCTCGCGCGGTATTGGGCGCGCGGGGCTATTCCTGTCTGCCGGCCACGCCGCCACGCCGCCAACCCTACAGTGCCGAGTGAGTGTGCTTTGCCCGCTTCGCCCGCTTTGCGGGACTTGGGACTCGATAAGCGGCAGCCTCAGCGCCGCCTGGTCCGTAGCGGAGCTTGTCCGGATTTTTAAGCGGAGAGCATTCAATCAGAGATAGAATGAAGTCACCACCCGGCTTCGCACCAACTTCAAGTCGTGCTCGCGGCGCTTCGTGGACTCACAGTGCAGCGCGTCTTGCTCCCCTTGATTGAGAGCCGGGCGTGGCGTGGCGTGGGCGTTCCGGAAGCGACCGTAATCCTTAACCACACGACGCGCGGAAGCGAGCCGCTCCTTCCTGTTCGGGCTGACTGGCGGGGCTGGCGGCGTCCTCTGGGCCGGGGGCGCGGGGCCGCGGGGGCGTCGGCACCCCAGGCAGCCCCGGGCGTCCTCCCCTCGTCAACACCGTTCGGTCGTTGGATTTGGCGGAACGCGCGGGGGTCTTGGTGCACGCCGACGTCACCACGACGCGACGCCGCGGTGTGTCTTGTAGCGGAACGCGGCGTGGCTTGGGTTGCCCGTCGTCAGTCGATACGGTCGATGCGGCGTACGTCAGTGCGCACAGTGTAGGCGACGCCGGATTGGGTTTCCCGCGCGTCGCCCTAAATGAGCGCGCCGTCGGCTCATTTCGCCGGCCTCTTTATTTGCGTAGCGTTTGGTGATGCAATTTTGAGCTGCAGTTCTCGGTGCTCGCGCTGCGCGTGGGACAAACACTAAGCGCGCGGACACTCGCTCACACTCACACACAGGCCGTTGTTTACCACGCAAAGGCCGTCCTTTGGCACCGTCTTCTTTGAGTCTCGGCACGCTGCCTGACGCTGCCCCGCCGGCCGGCGCGCGCCTCGAAGAACACCCCCACCTTGGCCACGTCCAAATGGGATTTGCCCCGAGCCGCGATACACCTAAAACGTGCGGGCCTCCCCGCCAGGGCCGCCAGCCCGCCTGCCTTCGGCGCGGGGCTTCGTCTCGGGGCGGCGGGGCGGCGGCGGGGCCCCGCGGGGGTGGAGGTCCTGCAGGGTTTAATCTCCTTAAGCGCAGCCAGGCTGTCAGACAGGCAGCCCTCACCGCATCGCACAGTTTTCCCGCAGTGGACCTTGCTTCTTTTGTGTGGAGGGGAGCGAGGCCCTTGTGGCCATGCACCGGCCTGCCTGCCTGTCGGGCTGCCTGCCTGCCGCCGCGGGCTGTATATAGCGACGGAAGAGGATGCAGTGGATGCACCGGCGCGGCCGGGGAGGGGTGGCTTGTGCCGCGGCTTGTGCAGGGAGTCCGACAGGGAGTCAGGGACCTGCGTCCTGATGGCGTGGATACGCGGTCCGTCCCCGCGCGCGTCTCAGTGTGTTACGTGTTTACTGGACGCCCCGGCGTGGCGAGGCGGCAAGGTGGGGCGCGGCCGGGCCGGCGGGGTCACTGCGCTGCGCTGCGCCACCGCGACCGCGGGCCACTCCTCCGCCACTTCCGTCCCGTCGTCCCGCCGTCCCGACGGACACCTTTCTCCCCTCCCCGCCCTCCAGGCTGACCTGACCTGCGCGCGGCCCGCGCCAGCGCGCCAGCGGACACGCACCGCATGTGTAAACAGTCGCTTTCTATTAACCTCTGCCGGTGCAATCAAAGCCCCGCCCTCCCGCGGGTTTATTAACTGGACGCGTGCTCTCCGATTCGTTCCGTCCCGCCAGAGAGAGGAGAAACCGGAAGGTCGCTCGGGCTCTGGCGACTCCGTCCAACCACTCGTGGACATTTCGGAATTTGAACGGCGGTGCAGGCCGACTCGTTTCCTAGTCAACTTATGTAATTTTGAGGTTGCGGCGACGCTCTGCGCGCCGCGCTCCGCGTAGACACGGTAGACACAGACCGCGGCGACGGCGACTGTTGGCGGCGACCGTCTTATTCTGTCCCTCGGCGTCGCGGCCGCGCCGGGCCGCACCCCCACCCCCCGGCGTCGCGACGCATCTGCCCGGCGACGACGTCGGCGTCGTGGTCGCGTCCCCAGTCGCCGCCACCAGGCCCCGTCGCGCGCACCACGCCGGCCCACGGCCCCCGGCGCCGCGAACGCCAAGTAGTGCAGTGTACAAGTGTGCCAGTGCCTGGCCAGTGCAGTGATAGTGTGGTGTTTTTGCTTGCAGACGCTCGTGGCCGAGGCCTCCCTGCCCTCGGCGTGCGCGTGACGCGTACCGTCGGCCTCGTGCCCGGCCCATCGTGTCTGGCACGAGGTGTGTCCGAGGCAGCAGCCGCCATGCCATGAGATGGACCGGCCCCACGGCCAGACGCAGAGCCAGAGCCGTCAGGCCGCGCCCTACCGTCTGCAGGTGTCTCGGCCTCTGCTGCACGCCTACACCATCTCGGACATCGCGGACGGCAATGAGCCGGTGGTCGGGTACGCGCTGCCCGTGACCAAGGGCGCCAAGCCGCAGCCCAGCTTGCTTGGCCTCGGCCAAACCATGGCCGCGTCGGCCGCCACCCGCACCCCCACCTCCAGCCCCAACCCCAACGCCCCCAACAACAACAAGAACAAGTTCGGCGCCGCCGAGCGCGCCGAGCCCGAGGAGGACATCGCGGCCATCGCCAAGCAGATCTCGGACCACGCGGAAGCCATTTACCAGACTTGGAAGTCGCGCGGCCTCGCGCCGGCCGAGATCCTCAACATGCCGCAGAGCGTGCAGAGCTCGCAAGCCATGGAGCAGCTCGTCAACAAGTTCGTCGTGGAGGACAAGGCCCGGCAGGCGGCCCAGCGGCTCAGCCCCGGGCTCGGCCAGCCCGCGTCGCCCACGCCGCGCGCCGTCGAGAAGCTGGTCAACAGCTTCGTGGCGGAGGACAAGGCGGCACGCCTGCGGCAGACCTCTCCCGGCCTGGACCTCGGCCTCGACGACAACAACAAGGTGGCGTCGTCGCGGCGGTCGCCCGTGCCGTCGCCCGCCATCGAGCAGCTCGTCAACAACTTCGTGTCGGAAGACAAGGCGCGCCTCGCGGCGCAGCAGCAGCAGCAGCACCAGCAGCGCGGAGGGAAGAGCCTGCCCAGCTCCATCCAGTTCGCGCTGCAGAAGTTCGAGAACAAGCAGACCTCCTCGCCGACGGCCGCGACCACCCCGCTGGACGGGCGGACGTCGCCGACCCCCAAGCCGAGCGCCACGAGCCCCGGCCTGGCGCCCGCCCAGCCCACCCGCATCAGCCCCAACAAGACCGTGTCGCAGCAGCCGCCGCTGCACCACCAGGAGATCTTCCTGGAGACGATTGAGACCTCCTTCCCCGAGGACCTGAAGCCGCAGCGGGGCTCGCCCGTGGACGCGGTGGACGGTTCGCCGGCGTGGCCGCTCAAGCACAAGCAGCGGCCGTCCGTGGCGCGCGCCTCCGAGTACCTGGACGAGGTGGCGCGCGAGGAGGAGCGCCTCATCAACGCCCTCAAGACGGGCATCATCCTGGCCGAGGACAGCAAGCAGAACAAGAAGGCCGCCTCCCCCACCGCCTCGCCCGTCAAGAAGAAGGACAAGCCGGCGGTGGACTTGGCCAGCAAGCCGACCATGAACGGCGTCCGGCACCCGTCGCCCTCCGCCGCCAACAAGGTCCCCCACCCCGCGGCGCGGCCGCGACAGACGTCGACGCCCTCGGGGTACAACCAGGCCAACGGACACTCCCCCAACCCAGTGCGGCCCTTCCTGACGCGCGGCTCGGTGGCCGAGCGCGTCCTCATCTTCGAGAAGTGCCCCAGCGACCTGCTGCTGGACAGCAAGCGGAGGCCCGCCCCGGCCTGGCGGGCACCCCAGGGCGACGTGCAGGCTCGAGCGCAGGTAAGCCTCGTCGGCCAGGTGAAGGAGTGCGACAAGCTGGTGGCTAGCTTCGCAGCGGGTAGCTCAGCCGCCTGGCACCGGCCCCGCTGCCAGTGTACTTAAACACGCCCATTCCCTTGGCAGGCCGGCGGGCCGGCAGGCCGCTGCGATCCTAATAGGAATGTTAGCATAGGTCAGGAAGGATTGCTCTATCGCTGGCCGCTCGCTGTGCATTTTCTTTTGCCCCTCCATGCCCGGCCTGCCCGCCGCCCGCATACGCGCAATAATTTGCCTCTCCAGATGGCTTTCCAATCCGAGTCCGTGCCCTGCGCTGCCCTCGGCTGCCCTACAAAGGCAGAGCCCGGCAGAGCCTACATGTCCGCGCGGCGCGCACTCCAAGGCCGAAGGACGTGAGGACGTGAGGTGAGCCCTGCGCAGCCCTGCCGCTCCCCGCGCAGGCCCTGACACCCTTCGCTGCCTTCGGGTCGCGCTCGGGTCGCGTTCGGGTCGCGCTCGGCCAGTCCTCATCAATCACTTCTCCAAACATGTCCCTCCGCGATTCGTCAGTGGAATCGTGACAGACATTACCCCTCGCGCCTGGCGTTTGAGATTGTGCAGCGTGGAGGGGAGAGTGGTGATGCGGGCGTCAGGCCCGGGGGCCGTGCCTAAGTCAGAATAACCATTTCAGCAGCGAAAAGTCAATTTGATGATTCTCCTCGATGGCTACACCGATGGGGGTGGAACTTCGCTGGTGCAGCAGAGGTCTCGGAAAAGTGGGGCGAGACGCAAAAATGTAGGAGACGGAACCTGTGTGTGTGTGTGTGTGAGTGCGGGCGCGGATGTAAACAAAACAGCCCCGCGAGGCTTGGCCGGGCTTGGCCGGGCTTGGCTGCGTCTGGCCGAAAAGGAAAGGAAAGGTACACACCGGACCGCTCGCCTTTCTGAAACGCAGATGCCTCGTCGAAAATCAAATCGAAAATCTCGAACGAAAACATGAAAATAACCTGACCGTCGCTTTTTTTGCGGTGCTTTTGAAGGAACCGGGCGGCGCGGCTGTTGGAACACTCTGCGGAGTCTGCGCTCTGCACGTACAAATGACTGCAGCACTTTGCCATTCTTTGAGGAAACGTAACGCCGCCGCCGGTGCGCCGTGCTCGCCGTGCTCGGCCTGCAGACCGATTCCGAGAGTCGTTTTGGTCGCTCTGTCTCTCTCGCACCTACCGGCGGCGCCCTACGAGAGCGAGAGAGGCAGAGCGACGAAAACGACTCTCGGAATCGGGCTTGGCCGTACGGCCGTTCCGACACACGCCGCGCCGCCGCGTCCACGTTGCCATGGCAACAAAGACAGCCCCGCGTACCGCGACGTACCGCGAGCAGCCGCGAGTACCCGCACTGGAGTTCTCGGCGTGCGAGCCAGATTTTTACGATACGCCACTCCCGCCGGCCTCCGCCATCGATTTTCCCGAGGCGGAGAGGAGAGGAGGGGCATCGCTGCGCTCCGGAGAGTCCACACCGACCCGCACTTTTCGCAACATCGCCATTTTTATTTTTCTACCCTGCTGTCTATTTTTCGTTCTCGCGGAATCTTTCCGTTTGGTCGTGATAAACGCGTGGAGGATTTTCTCCACGTTGCTCGGCTGGGCAGGCGGGCCGCGGTGGACTGCAGCGTGCAGAGAGGCAGGCTAGGGCAGGGGGAGACGATCGCCGGCAACATCATCATCGTCGTCTCGACGATCTATGCAAACAATGCGTGCCTCGAACGGCATCAGCATTACCCCTCGGGCGCCACGGGCAACACGGGTGGCCTATCCCCCGTCTCTCTCCCTCCACAGCACCGGACGGGGACGCCTGGGAAAACGTCAAAAAAGGTCCTGCCGCTGCGCTCCGCGGCTCGTTGGTCCAAATTAAGTCGTGGTACTACTAACAAGCTGGCCGACGACGACGGGGCCGTCACTTTTTATCCGCCTTTTTGCGCCTCTATCTCTAATTGCCTCTCCATTGACGGCAATCAAACACCGGATAGAATGGCTTCTTCAGCGCAGCGGATAGGCGCGCCGGATAGAGCGACCTCGTCGTCGTCGTCAGTGCAGGCTGGTTCCGCGACCAGTGCGCTGTCTGTCTCTCTCGCACTCGCGGGTCGTCCCGCAGCGGTGCGAGAGAGACAGACTGGCCGGCAATCAGCGAGGCGTCCAGGTGTGTCGGGGAGGATCTCGTTGATGCGCTGCTGAGGCCTTGCCTTCGGTATTACCCTTGCACTAACACCTCCCCCTCCCCGCGTGGCGCAATTGGAGCGAAATGGCCATTTAGGGCGTTTCGGCCTTTGGGTCGCTCGCATGACGAAACCGCAGCCACTGCTCATTACACTTACCTGGCCTCCCCGCGCCTCCACGGCCAGCCCGCCACCGCACTCTCGCCATCGCCTTTGACGCGTGGCCGGCGCGTGGCCGGAGCGTGGGCGGGGTGGGGGTGGGGTGGGGTGGGGTGGGGGGGGTGGGTGGGGTGGGGTGGGGGGGTGTCGCCACAAGTATTGAATATCACCGCTCGAGGTGCAGCCTGCAGGCGAGAGGGCAAGATGCCGCAGTAAATCTAGCCTCTTTGTCCGGGGGTAAAAATCGGCGCGGGCAGTGTACCCCCACCACCGCCAGCGCTGCGGCGGCGGCCTCCCCGACGGCGGAAGGCAGAAGGATGAATCCCTTAGATTTACGGCAACTCGCTCGGAATTCGAGCAATAGCGAGCGAACCGAGCGAACCCCGGCGCTGCCTTTCTGTGCCCTTGTGTTCGCCCCCTCCCCTCCCCCCCTCCCCTCACCGGCCTTACGTGCTGCGGTGGCACTGGGCATGAGTGAATGCGCTCTGCTCGGGTCGGAGTGCAACGCGGGGTGACGTTGGCGTACTCTGCTACAAGAATTTCCAATTACCGACTTATCCTTCCGAAAATGACAAACGGAACAGAAATCAGCTTTGCTGTCAGGACATCGCGCGGGGCGAATAGTTTCGTCACGGCTACAGCGCTGCCGTCCGAAAACAGAAAAGAAATACTAATTAAACTACAACTTCGAAACCTAAAAATATCCCCGCGATGAAATTTTCGTGGTCCTGGCACGGGTTCAACTCTTTTCAGGGGACCGGTGCGGATTTTTCTCTCCGCCTCTGAGTCACCCTGAGGTTCATTCAAGGCTGTGCGAACCGTCTCCCCGCCCTTCCCGTACGTCGGGAAGACAAACCCTAAAAAACAATTGAAATTCGTCAATAAAAAAGTCACGCATTAATCTGGAAAACTTGGCAGTGGTCTTCTTCCTGGATGAAGCCATTTCCTTAATCGCACGACTTTCGCTTATAATCACCGCGGATCGATGCTACTTTGCTATTTCTGATGAGTTCCGTTCTCACGCACACACACTCACCCATTCACACGCACACACACACACTGCTCTGCGTCGCGAGCTATATATACGGCAGCTTTTTTCCCCTCAACTTTCTCTAAATTGTCGCCGCCGCGGCCGCCAGTCCGGCCAGTGGTTGGTGTGTTTCTGTCAAGGCTGCGGCTCATTATGGAGTTGGAGATGTGTCTGAGGAACGCGTCGCGAATCGAACCGCCGCTGTGTGTGTGTGTGTGTGTGTGTGTGTGTGTGTCCTCTGGCTTCTCAGTGCGATGACCGCATCCAGGAGCGAGCAGTTCCAACGCCAGGGTTGCCACGCGGGCCACGCCCCTTCTGGTGCGAGATGAGGTCAGAAGACGCGCCGCGAACCTCGCCGCGCCTCTTGTCTGTCTGTCTGTCTGTCTGTCTGTCTGCCTGTCTGTCTGCCCGCCCGACTTCTGCTTCTGCTTCTCTCTCTCTCTCCCTCTTTTGTCCCTCTCTGACTGACGAGCGTGGACGTGCGAGTGCGAGAGAGTGCTGCAAACGAGCGCAACAGAGTCGCGCACATTCACATCTCATCAGTCAGAGACAGACGGGCGGACAGACAGTCGGACTTGGCGGTCCTGATGGCCTATCAATCAGCCGGCGCGGGGCGCGGGGCGTAACCATGGCAACCAGGTGCGCACCTGCCACGGCGTCGCCCACCCGCTGCAACCCGATGACCCTCCCCTTCGTCCTCTGCTTTTTGTCTTTCTTTTTGTCCCTCCTTGCTGCTGCGGTGCCGCGAGCGGGTCCATTGTCCTCGTTGCGCTCACGGACCTCGTGGAGGTCCTCGTGGAGGCGGGCGGGGCGCCGCGGAGCGCATCTGGGGCGCATCATTTGCGCGGACTGCGGCGCGGGCGGCGCCTCCATGGTGATGCCCTTCGCTTCCTCCTGCCCGCCTTATGCATCAAGCTAGAGTCAAGCTGCCGGGACAAGACTTCGACTTCGGCGAGTTATTTGTGCACGCCGTGCCTCGGGCCGACAGGTGTGGGTCAGTCCGCCGCGGTCCGCCCCGGTCGGCGCACTGCGCTGGACGCTGGACCCGACTGTCAGGCTGTCAGCAGGACACCCGATTCGGCCACTCGGCCATTCGGCCCAAGACCGCGGTGCGTTCGAAAAGCCGAAAAGTCGTCGCTCTCTGTCGCACCCCCTGGGGGATCGGCGGGGAGACACGCGGCCCTGCGGCGTGCGTGCTGCCCGGCTGCTCGGCCTGGCGGCGCTGGCGGCCCGGCCCCGGAATCCGAAGGACCGCCGCGAGACGTAACGTGCTCGATTCGATGACGCAAGGACGCGCCGCTCTGCGTCGCTCGCGTCCTTTTCTCCGCGCCTCGCGTTGCCAACTTTTGAACCCCGAACAACGGCGCGCCCTTCCTGATTGCAGGGCGGCGGTGCGCGCCGACGCTGCACCTCGTCGACGCGCGTTTCTTGCTGGTTGTTGTTTTTTGCGGCTCCTCATTGTCGAGCACGTGCGCGCGCAACGCCTTCCCTTGCGGCCGTGTGACGCGACGGATGCGACGCCCAGGCGCGATGGGCCGGGGCCCGGCTAGGCCCGGCTAGGCCCGGCCGGGCAGACTTGGACGCGCCGAGCCGTGGCGAGTCGCGGCGCGTCTAGCGCGGAAG